AATTAAAAAAATAATATATTATATAAATAATAATTAAAAATTTTTAATTAAATAAAAATATTTAACAAGAAAAACGTGCACGATTCAAATAGATACCATGACTCTGAGATATGTTCTTCTATTTATGTACTTGAACTTCAAGCACACAAAAATGAATACATGTAGTAAAGAATGAATGCATTTTTTTACTAGTAAGGTCATTCATTTATAAGAAAAACTTTGATATTTTCATTGTGTTTATATATACTTTAAAGAGAACTAATTGAAAAAAACCAAGTTTGAAGATAATGTACCTTTAGGTTTTTGAAGAAAAAAATTGAAGGAAGTTGGACACTAAATAACCAACTTAACTAGGCCAAGTAAATTGTAAGGAGCAGCAGATTTGGTTGGTTGCGAGCCTAATATTTTTTTCCTCATCAGAAGATAGTTGATTTGCGAAATGCTTAGAGGTAAACTGATCTGGAAATGAAAACTCATTCTTTGTTTTATCAGTACCTTGATAGAAGGAGGTTCAGATCACAAAGATGTTCACAACCGTTCAACAAATATGCATACAAAATATCATTCCAAGTATCAGTCCCGGTAAGTAAGTATCAATGAACACAATCGGCAAAATTTTCAAGATAAGATCTCTGTTCCCTGTCAAGAGTTTGCCCTTCCATTCACCATAAACAGATATGAGCATCTTTCTAATCTTCTAACAATTGTGTAACATTCAAAACTGTGGTGGTTGATCTTAGTTCTTGTAAGATTTTGTTAACTATCTCCATGATGGCAAGACTAGATCCAAATCCCCAGTATGATGCCTCTTGGTTTGGATAGGTATTCACTGAAGCAGTCTCATTACCGCCTGGCTTCCATCCTTCCCCTTTGATGTATGCAGCAGTAGCAGCTGTGACATTCCAGAAAAAGCACAGAACCAATCCTGCATAAGGAAGAAATATACATTTACCATTCATGACATATATCAATAGACACTAATAAGCATAACGTCATGTATAACATCGTGTATATAATCGAATGTATTCAGTCAATAAATATAATATACTGAAAATGAAAAAGCTTACATACCTAAGAATGATCAAAAGGCAATGTACATCGACTTTTCTAGATAAATCAGTATATCATTATGAACAATTGAGGCAAATGGTGGCCAATCTGCAAAACAAAAAATCAAAAATTCTAGACTGTCATGGCATGAATGAAAGGCTAATAAACCATCAAAGGCAACAGAAACAGGCCACGACATGGATATGATGAGTAATCAACAAAACATAACACCAAATGCAAGTTACCTCTTGCTAAAGCCTCTATTTTGCTTACACTTCCTGTGCTGTATGTCCCAAAGAAAACATATGAGTGAAAATTGTAAAAGTCTACATGTGTCAATTCAATCTATTTGATATACCTCCTACTGTCAGTTAAATTCAACTTCCATGGCCAATCTCCCTATCTTTCCTCTGCAATTCCTAAGATAATTTGAACATTCTAAATCAAAAGACCATAATCACCGCTCAATTTCATAGAACAAGAGGGAAGTAGCATGCATGGAGATGGACTAAGGTAAATACACTAACCTTAGTGGGTCTAGTAACTGTAGTAAGAGGGATATCATGATTTGCATCACAACCATAGTTGAAAGCAACTGGTTCAGGAGGAAGAGGTGAAGGCATTGATGGATTCTACAAATTCACAATCATTGATAACTAATCAGAATCATATCATTAAAATATATATATATATATATGATTTTCATTCTTAGTAGCTAGAAAAGACCTTTCACTATTTGTGCTTCTCTACTGTCAATTGAAGTTTCTTTCCATAACAATTTTTGGTAGGTTCATAGAAAGAAAATTTGATGGCATCTTCATACTTGTCTTCACCCCACAAATCGAAAACTACCCCCCTTTTCCTACTACCTTTACCATTAGAATCTCTCTTCACCATTAAAATTAACATCATCAGCATCATCACCAAGTTCCCCATCTTCAACTACTTCATGAGCATAAATCCATGCATCTGCAATAAGTAAAATGAAAGAAAGCAGAAAAATGTTAGTTAAGAGCATAAAATGTAGCTCCATAGAAAGAAAAGGTTAACTATTGGAAGCACTCCAGTAATGTGTATAGAAGAAGCAATTTAGGCATTGAAGCAACCAAAACCCAGAGGAAAGGGAGACCTTGAGCTTGAGCTAATTGACTCAACTATCAAAAGGTGCTTAATTTAAGCTATAACTAGAAACCAATTTATAAAGAAAATGTAAAGATCA